TAGCTGATGGCAAAATAACAATCGATAATCAAATGCAATCAAGATACTTTTCACACGAATTAAAGCTATCCATCCACTATTAAAAGATATACTGTCACATAACAAAGTAAATTATTTTGAAATTAAAAATATATTTGTATAGATAACATTTTATGGAAATTAATTGTACCAAGTGGATAAAGCTAAGCTCTACCATCAGAAAATAAGATTTTCTCTTTGCTTATAATAAAAATAATTTTGGAGGTATGTTTGATGAATATAAAATTTTTGTAAGAAATGACTTCCTGAATCTGAATATAAGTGAAAAAGAAAAGCAGTTGAAAATGCATGTATCAAAATAAGTTTGGGGAAGTGTTTATTAAATAGAAATTAAGATTATTGATGCCCTAACTTCATGTTTGGAATGAAGATATGAGAAGTGAAATAAGATTTTTTTCAGATTTTAAAACCAGAGAAAAGTTATTTTTATAAATAAAATTAATTTACAGAAAGTAGCGATTGACTTGACTTTAAATACAATTTAGGTTCCACAGAAATTTTATATGAATTCATTTCAAACCACATACAATATCAATAATTTGTAACATGAAATCAGTATTGGGTTTGGATTCTCTAAAAATCACAAATTTTGTTTAGTGCAATCTTAATCAAATTCAAAGTGGTCTTGAAATTATTAAGCAAACCAGCCACAGTGTCATTCCATTCTGTAAAAGAAGTTTCAATAGGCTGAAGTTGAAACTATTTAAGATTGTTATTTGGTCTTGAGAAATAATCAAACAGGACAATTCTTCTGTTTTAAACAACAGAAGAAAATAGATTTTGAAATAGCTTGATTCCATTAAAATCAAGATAAATTCTAACTTTGGTATAAATAAAATAATTTAAACAAACTAGTGTTATGCTTTTCAGTTTGATATCTTTTCAATTTTGTCTTCTACTTTAATATTCTTGGATTAAAAAATTTGAATACATAAATCTTGTACATTGCATGCTACATTTTTTTTCTATCATTTGGCACAATGCTGATCTAGCATAGTTGCATCACAATTATTGTTTAAATCTGTAATTGATGACTTACCTGTCCTGGTGTGGCACTGTAGAATAAGCACTGGGCTGCTAACCACAAGGGCATAAGAATAAATGCAAATGAAAGTTCAAACCCACCAACAACTCCTTGGAAACCTAGTACAGGGTTGCTATGAGTCGGAGACAACTTGATGGCACTTAACAGCCTATGCTGAACCAGGAAGTATACTGTTTTCCTTTCCTATATTGCATTTTTTCTGTAGTGAAAATTTCCTTTTTAATTCCTTTGTTTAGTTTTCTCTGCACTTAATGCTGTGGGTTTTTTTTTAATGCACTTCATTTATTGTTTGGAGGTTTTCTGTACAAATACTCAGACACATCAATAACAATTTGTTAAGGTTCTTCGGAGTTCCTTTTTTTCAACTTCAATTTAAGCTAGTTATCTCCCCCACCCCCACCCCCCCAAAAAAAACCTGGTACATAGTTTGTAGTTTTGGGGCTTTTCATTGCCATTCTCTTGTTTTGCATGTTCTGTTTCCTGAGCTGTGAGTTTTCCTTTTCTTGCTTTATTCCACATTTTAATGAAACATGTCCTCTAATAGCAGTCTTGGAAGAGTTTGACCTTTTTTCAGACCTGGTATGCCTAAAACTACACAGGTATGTGTTGCCTAACATCCATGATACATTCTGTGAAATAGGACATTACGTGTTTTGGATGTTGTGCAAACATTCTATTACATGTAGTATACGAGAGGGCGTCAAAAAGTTTGTGGAAAATTCCTGTACATGTTTGTGTATATTTGATACACATGTCAAAGTAACCTCTATGCAAAATATTCTAGCTTTTAGTGACTGGAGTCTCAAGATTTGCAAACTTGTTCCTGTAATTGGCTGCCTCTGGGCTCCAAGCTCTCTTGGAATAGCCCCAGGGAGCCTGATAAGAATTGGATGCTCTAAGGATGGAACAGAGTTGCCAGGGTGGCTGGGCAGGGCACCATGAGCAGTAGCCATGGGAGCTGCCCCAGTCACAGCCAAGCTGTGGCTTTGCACATACCATAAAATAAACACTGGTCCTGCTTCCTTGAACTCTTCCAAGCAAGATCTTTCCCCCCCAGCCCATGGATGGTCACTCAGACATTGCCCGCACTGATGCATACTTGTGTTTACTTAGATAATACTTTGGCTGATGCACACAGAAACTATTTTCTCATGTTGTTTTGAAAGTTGTTTCACGATTTTCTTATATCCGATATTGCTTTAGATAACATTTGATGCCATTCTTGCCCTGGTTTGTATTTATTTTATCCTTTTGGAAATTTTTACATTTGTTCTGTCATGTTTTGAAATTTCATAATGATATGCTTTGCTCATTAGCCTTTTTTTATTCATTCAGCAGGCATCTCAGACATTCAGCAGGCCTTTTAAATTTGGAGATTGCTGTTTTGGGAAGTTTTCTTGCATTATATATATATGTATATTACCCCCAACACACACTTTTCTCTTTTTTTTTTTTTTTTTGAGGGGCAACTCTAGTTGCTCTGACATTAGCTCTCACTGTTCTAATTCTTTGCGGTGGTGGTGGGGGGGATGTTGTTTGTGTTTTTTTAAGAACTATGGATAGGAATTCTGGTGTGGATAAGCACTGCACTGTGAACCATGAGGTTGGCATTTCAGACCCACCAGCTGCTCCTTGGAAATCCTGTATAGTGTGGCTATGAATTGGAATTGACTTGATGTCACTTAGCAACAGCAAGCTAGGCCTAGGACTTCATTTAGTGTTAGAATTATGGTTAGGACTAGGAACCCTGATGACCTAGTCGGTTTATGCATTAGGTTGCAAACCGCAAGGTCAGCAATTTGAATCTTCAGGAGAAAGATGAGGTTTTCTGGTACACTAAAGATTTACAGCTTTGAAAACCCTCCACAAGGCCACTGTGAGTCAGAACCAACTCAACCGTACATAACAAGCATTAATGTTAGGTGTGTGGATTCGGCTAGTTTCAAGGCTACAGTTAGGTTTTTTGTTTTCTTAAAATCTACTTGATTCTCTTCAGTGTTTGTTGTTGGAACTGTATCTCTGGTTCTCTATTATCAGTCTTGTGGTTCTGTTTCCTTAGAATACCTCTATAACTGGACTTCAAGGTCAGTTTGAGCTCTAAGGTTGGTGGTTCTGGCTCACCAGCCGCTCCTTGAAAACTGTACAGTGTTGCTGTGACTCCGAACTGACTTGACGGCATTTAACAACAACAACGTATCTGGGATGAATGCATGTTAGTTTCACATTGGCTGTTGTTGATGTTCTGTCCAAAGAATTCCCTTTATAGTTTTTGTAAGGTTGGTCTGGTTTTTATTAATTCTTTAAATTTTTTTTATCTGAAAATGACCTAATATTACTGTCATATTTGATAAACAGTTTTGCTGGATATATAATTCTTAAACAGCTATACATATATGTCATTCCATTATCTTCTTGCCTGCATGGTTTCTGCTGAGAAATCAGAGCTTAGTCTTACTTAGTTCACCTTTATAGGTAACTTTTCATTTTTCCTGAGCTTCTCTCAGGATTCTTACCTGGTCTTTAGTTTTGAAAAGTTTGATTATAGTATGTCTTAGTGTTTTTCTTATAGGGCTCATCCTGGTTGGAGTTCATTCAATTTCTTGAATGGCTATCGTCTTGTTTTTCATGATGTTGTGGAAGTTTTCTTCCAATAATTCTTGGGCAATATTCTCTATGAGTTACTATGTGTATCTTCCTATGATAGGATTAAGGGTGTTGCATCCCACTCTTTTATTGACTTATCACATCAGGCCATATCATGAGGAATCATTACATAGTTGCCAAGCCAGAGAATCTTATCCCAACAAGCTCATACATATTTTTAGGGAGACACAATTCAATCCATGTCAGTGGCTAACAACTAAGCCTGGGATAAGCCTTCACTCCATTATTTAATGGGGTGTGCCATCTCATTTCTTAACAAAATCTCAAATTTTTATAGTGTCTTAATGAAATAATGTAGAGTTTTTAACTTCTTACCCATCATATGTGCTCAGTGCTTGGTAATTGTTATAAACTGGTAAGTTGTCATTCTGTTTCCTGAGATTTTATTGTATTCTTTCCCCTTATAAAACATCTGTAAAAGCAAAATATGACTTAGCTATAGGTTAATAGGAGTCCTGGTGTAGCACTGTAGATTAATGTGCTGGACTGCAAAGTCGACTTGAACTGAAAGGTTGGCGGTTCAAGCTCACCAGCAGCTCCTCAGAAGCCCTGTACAGGATCACTATGGGTCGGAACTGACTTGACAGCACTTAACAAAAGCAAGTAGTTTAATAGTGTTTGGATTTGACATTGGAAGTATTACGATGATCCCAAATATTAAGTCATAATTTCAGGATGTTGTATCTAAGTGACTGTACTTGGTTTGTTTATGTAAACTATTATAGTTGGATCTTGTCATTAAAATCAAAGTTGTAGTTTACTAGTTTTCTAGTAATGGTAATTATGGTCTATATTTGAAAAAGAAGCAAAAAGTAGTTATTGAAGTAAGTGGGTAACTGCTCCTTGACTCTCATTCAGAAGCTTTCGGTTAATACTGCAATCCTTATAGATATTTTAGAAAGAATTCTTAAAATCCTGAACAATAAGGATTGAGTACGTGCTGTTTTTGTTGTTGTTAAGTGTTGTCAAGTGGGTTCCGACACATGGTGACCCTATATAGGGTTTCCAAGGAGCAGCTGGTGAGTTTGAACCACCGACCTTGAGGTTTAAACTGATTTGTGGTCCACTGCTTATCCTACAGCATTATACCAAGTCTCTAGTACATACTTTAGATTAAGCGATTGTTTTTCCATTTCTTTGTTATATTAGATTGTATCCCTAAGTACCTCTTTATCCAGAAGATTTAGTATAATAAAAACTGTTTTCTTTGGTGTTAGACATGAATGTAAATGTAACTTATTCATCATTTCAGGAAATTTCAAGACATAATATGGCTGAAGGAGAATCTGAAACATCAAAATGTGAAAGGTAGGAACAAATGAATCTCTTAAATCTGAGTATATCCAATAACTTGAGCTGTGTTACTTTACAGGTAGTTTTCAAAGGAATACTTAAATTTTTATAAGTATTACTGCTTTTAATAATGGCTTTTAATTTAAAATGTGAATTTTTAATTGAACAAAAATGCACCTTTAGATCCTTAGGTTTTAAATTTTTTAGACAAGCAGTCATTCTTATTGTTACATTAAACTTTTGCTAGTAAACAGATTTTTGATGTCCTTATTAAAAACAGTTACAAAATGCAATAATGAAACAGTTATTGCAAATAGATCATCTTAGTATCTTTTAAATTTTTTAACTTTTTTTCAAAAAGCTGTAGAGCTAGTTTTGATGTGGAATCTCAACATGAAAGTTTCTTAATTACAGATTGATTAAATATATTCCTCACAACAGTAAGGAATCATAAGACATTACAATTAGTAAAAGAGAATCCCAACCTTCTAAAATAAAGATGTTTTGTTTTATAAGTAATTTCTCTTTTCTCTTTATGCTGTATAATTTACAGTAGATTACATATTAATCTATTGAGATTAATTGATCTATGACATTTAAAAAGCAAGTTCTAGAATAAGGCCTTATGATGTGTTTCTCAGACTTAACTAGTAAAGCTAACTAGCTTTTTCTGTACTTAGATCTTTTGTGGTGCTGTAGGTTAATGTGCTAGACTGCAAAGTCAGTTTGAACTACAAGGTCGGCTGTTAAACTCACCAGCTGCTATTTGGAAACCCTAGATAGGGTCATTATGGGTCGGAACCAGCTCAATGGCACTTAACAACAGCAACAAGTCCACTCAATATTTAACATTTTCTGTAAATTGTAGTTTACAATAAGATTAAAACAAAACTAAGAATTATAAATTGAAATTAAGAGGAAACTTTTTTTATACATTATTTCATAATTGGCTAGAAGACCTAAGATAAATGAGTTAAAAATCAAATTCTTTAAGAGTATTGAGGTGATTTGATAGAAAAATGTTAGTCTTATATAATAATAATAAGCAATTACAAAGTATTATGGATGCTATAATTCACTTACAGTAGTAGCAAAAGTGAGACATGTACAGAATCTAAATGAAAAGCAAAATTTTACTGAGAAAATAGTATATTAATAACTTGAATGATAGACCATTTTCCAAATTAATGACTATTTGGTTCAAAACCCCAATGAGATTTGGTTTGGAAGCTGAAGGTTAAATTAAGGTTCATATTTTCCCATTTATAAATATTACAAAAAAATGAAGTACCAACCATCTTTACCACATAGTACTCTTGACTTCTCATTAGGTTTCAACAGTTCATTATAGTGGCCACATAGAACTCAGTCACCATTCTTTCAGAAAATGCTCAGGGCACAGTTGTCCCAGTCAGGATAGCCTCTCCTCCCTCAGCAATGCCCACTGACAGGCCTATCTATCTCTGTCCAGCCAATGTTACAAAGCTCTTATAGAGCTGCTGATAAATGCCCATAGGATACACCACTCCACCATAAGCCTCAGACTGAAGGCAATCGGCTCCAGCTCTGTAAGTCACAAACCTAGCTTCCCCAATTAAGTGCCTAGAGTCACTCCACTGTACAAGCAAGCCTCCTGCCCAAAGTCACTCCGCTTCATGGCTGGGAAACCCACTGCTCCGTCTCCTGTTGGTTCTTGGCTCTGCTGCTGCTGCTCCTGTTACCCCTCTGGTGTCACAAGTTTCTGCCTCTGGGTCAGGGAGGTTCAGTGCACAGGGATCTCAGGGTCCAAAGGGTGCCCTCCACTCCTGGCTCTTCTTTAATACTAGTGAGAGTCCCATTGTTTTGCTTCTGGGATGGCTCATTTTAAACTTGGCAGGATAATATTGACCAATCCCCTCCTTAGATTTCCAAGTGTTTACAGTCACAAGCCTGTTAACAATCACTCACATGTGAATCATATAATCCATCAGCATCTTTCCTCACCTTTGGTAATCCTGGTGTGGTGCTGTAAGGTGAGCACTGAACTGTTAACCACAAGGTTGGCGACTCAGACCCAGTGGCCACTCCTCAGAAACCCATATAGGGTACCATCATTATCCATCAGCACTTAACAGCGAAGCCAACACAGCGGCACTTCACAACAAAAACATTGGTAGAAGGAACATTAGATAATTTTCTGTACCACAAATATCATAACTTCTTTAATTATTCTGTCATTGACTATTAGGTTGTTACTTTAGTCACTATTTTAAATATTATTTTATGAGCATCATTGTGCAAATATCTTACATTGTTAAACCACTAAGCTTATGGGGGAGAGTAGCAGAATATGAGGGATACCTTCTACTAGATAATGAAGTATACTCTTAATTGTTAAGATTGTGTGATAGTGACCAAGAATAAAGACAGAGCAGTAGAATGAAGTAAATAGCAGGAATTGTTGTTGTTAAGTGCCATCGAGACAAAGCAGCTTATAAATACAGTGATTTAATAAATCACATATGACCATTTGATAATGTTTCTGAGATATTTGGGCAATTCTTTGGAGAAAAGTCTAAATTCCAAATGTATTAAATATAAGAAAGATGGTATGTGTAATGTTTAAATTTATTTTTAGTAATATAAACATGGTGTGGCACTGTGGGTTAATGTGTCAGACAACAAAGTCATTTGAACTGCAAGGTTGGCGGTTCAAGCTCACCAGCTGCTCCTTGGAAACCCTATACAGGGTTGCTATGGGTCGGAATCAACTCGATGGCACTTAACAACAACAACAACAATAGTTAAATTTAAAGGGTTGCTATGAGCTGGAACTTGACAGCGCTTAACAACAACAACAAAGCAAGACTGGGAGTGCTATGGCTCCATATGATAAGCACTGGACTGAGAACCATAGAGTTCACAGTTCAAGCCGACCAGCCACCCACGGGAGAAAGATGAAGCTTTTTGTGCCCACTAAGATTTAAAACCAGAAACCAGATACAAGGTCGATGTGAGTCGGAATCAACAACACAAGCTAGATAAAAGGCTGGAGGTACTCTTAGAAATTTGTTTCTAATGTTTTAGAATTTATAAAAAAAAATTTTTGTCAACACTCAAGTACATCCTCCCACATAACTAAATACACACACACACATACACACAAGTGGCTTCAAAATTTTTCTGGAAAAATGCCATCATCTTTTGATTCCATTTTTCCAAGAACTTTTTGACACCCCTCATATATTAATGCACACACACAAACACACCTACATATATATGTCTATGTTTATAGTTAAATACATTTTGACCATTTTTTTAAAATTAAGCTATTAATAGGGAAATGTTTGTGGTTTGCATAAATGTATTCTAATCATAAAAACAATATATAAATAATAGATAATTTTCACATATATTACTTATATGAAATACAGTTTTAAAAAATGTTGTTATAGTTATGTGCCCTCCAGTTGGTTCCTACTCATAGTGACCCTGTGTAGGGCTTCTGAGGAATGGCTGATGTGTTTGAACTACCAGCATTGTAGTTGCTAGTCCAGTGCTTACCCTCAGTACCACAATCAGGCTCAGAACATGTGCAGTTTAAAAACAGACAAGATACTTGAATAGATGAAGACTGATAACTAGGAATAAAACCCGTTCATAAATTACCCAGGTTTATTTATTTATTTACTTTTAAGTTTTTATTATGAATTGAGTGAAAGTTTACAGGGCAAATTATCAGTTTTACACTCAACAAATTATACACTTTTTTCATTACAATGATTATAATCCCCTCCATCTACCATCAAATAACAGGATTTCTCTCTGTTCACTTTAGCTCTTTTTTTTTTTTTTTTTTTAAACACTCAGGCATATATAATAATTTATACCACCAAATGGCACATTCTGCAAGCCAGCTCTTAGTCCCCTTTCCATGAATCTAGGGGCCTTAGCTGCTCCCTCTTTCCATGTCCCCATCTCTGCCTCCATCTCTGGTGTTGTTGCTTCTCTGGATAAGGTCCTGCATCCCTCGTATACTTTTCTCCCTTGATGGCACTAAGTCCTCTGTCTGGACTGTAAGATTAACTACTTCCCTGTTTTTGTTACAAAACTTCTACCTTTACAATTGTGACAGTCGAAATTAGTCATGATAATAATTACTCACTATTGAATCATAAGAATCTTATCCCCATCTCTGTAACCAGACCCATCTAGACAAGACGACAGCTATTCAATGGGGACTCTTTCTTTCCCCCCATACTCTTAAACTAAACTCCCTCTTGAAAGCTTGTAAGCCAGTCACTTTGTGCCTTTATCGCCCCCTCATTTTAGGTATCCAATGTCTAAGTTGCCCGTCCCTATCTACTCCCCAGGTTTAATTTTAATATGACTTGGAGTTTCTCACTCTATTATTGTCTAAGAGTATGTCTCCTCGAAAGTGGTTTTAATGTCATGGGAAAGACTGTGGACCTGTGTTGGTTTATTTTCTTTTTTTGTTGTTGTTAGACAAGTATGCCTTGACATCTTTTACTTCTTAGAGCAAGTGCTTCTTTTGATTGTGTCCAAATACATTGTATTAAGAAGGAATAGATAATAAATGGCTTTTTTTTTCCCCCCCAGTAAACAAGATATTGTTTCACCAAAGGAATTGAAAACTAGATGTGGTGCAAGTTCAGTTGAAGCCTCCTCAGTAACAAAATGTGAAGAAAGTATAACAGTTTCATGTAAGAAAAATGATGCCTGTCTTACAGACCTAGCAGCTGGCTCCAAGAAAATCTTCAGTTGTGATTCAAATATTGATGAAGATAACATGGAAAAGGAAAAACAGAAAGAACTTGTTTCTCAGATGTGCCAAAGTTCTGAAAACATAATTTCATGTGATCAGATTAAAGATATCAACTCCAGTGAAGCTAGGGTTTCTTCTAAGAATAGAAAAGATTTGCGGTTAACTTCAGGGGATGTTAGAATTGATCAGTTTTTGAGAAAAAGAGATGAATCTGAATCTGCTAGTTCTGATGTTAGTGAGCAAGGCAGTGTTCATTTGGAACCTTTGACTCCATCAGAGGTACTTGAATATGAAGCCACAGAAATCTTTCAGAAAGGTAGTGGTGACTCTTCAGCCAAGACTGATGAAGTCTAGTGTTTGATCAAACAGATGATGTTCCTAGAGGAAATCTCCCGAACACAACAGAGGCAACAGTAGACCTGGCAGATGAAGAAGGAAGAAGTTAAAATTTATTTCTCGTTTTAAGTTTTAGTGTACCTGCGGTAAAACCATTTTGGAACAGTGCTATCAGATGAGCTCAGTGGTGCTGTTGGAGAGTTAAGAAATAGACACATTTGAGGGAGGTCATTCATACACTCTACCTTTATGTTCAACCAGATAATTGAATAAATCAGTTCATCAGTAATAGCACTATTAGTATGGCTTTCAAAGAAGTTCTTTAAGAAAATGAGTAAGATTTCAGTGATGGTTAAATTTGCAATTGAAGTCTCATTTTAATAGTTAGTTTCCAAGAAAATAGGACTTAGTTGCCAACTTGAATTGAATTTTAACAATATTGTATTCGTTAAGTCTTTGAAACTTCCAGAGTCCTAAAGTAAAAATCCTTATCACCTATATAACCATTTCAATTAATTTAAAGAAGATTTAGAGGTCTACCTTTTGGGAATCATTTATTTAAAATAATGGCAGATTGGCATTAAGAAAGACTTTATATTGAGTATAATGCTGGCATATGGAGCATGCTCCGAGTGCTGTTTTGATCTAAAGAGACTTTGGGTGACATAAACTTAATTTTGGATTTAATATAACGTTCCAGACTGTCTAAAGCATGTAAACAGAATATTTGAAAATCTGTACCTCCATACAAGTGTTAGCCTGCCAGGCTGTAAGCTTAAACTTTCAGTGAAAGTGAAATTATTAAAATATAAATTTATATATGTGCTTTTTTTTTTTTTTGTCAGTGTAAGCTGTGCAGAAATCCCTTGATATATACCCATTGTATAAACCCATTGTTGAAATGCCTTTAGCTGTTATGCTTTTAACATTGTTTTAATGATCTTCATTATAAATAAACCCACAAACCTGGTCTGGAAGCCAAACCAAAGTCTGGTGTAATGTAAAAACAGTAAAGCAGTAAACAGAACTTGTTTAGCTATGTTTAAACTACCTTTCTTTCATTGTAAAATGTAAATTTCAAATGGGACCAAAAGCAGTGATGTAAAAATTGTTTGGGGAAATTTAGCCTAATTTATCTGTAAGATGGCTGCTAAATTCAATTTTTTTTTTTTTTATCATCTAGGAAATAATAGATCATAGAAATGAATAAGGTGAATAACAGTAGTTCGCTTTGAAGTACTAATAAACTTAATTAAAATGCTGCATTTTTCTTAAAATATGCTTTTAATTCTTAAATTTGTTTCACTGAATGTTAATTGTTTTAAACAGCTATTAAAACTGCTGTAAATAGTAGATTTTCAGTAAAATATTTACAATAAAAATCGGTCTGAATAATTTTGTTTTCATATCACTGCTTGAGTCAGATGATCTTTGGTACCTTTAGAAATTATACACTTGTTCTAAGGAATGTTGAAATTAGTAGTGAGATTTTATTATAAATTCTTTGTTATGTGGTTTATTTTATATTAGGCCTTAAAATATAGTGGTTGATACTGCTGATATATATATAGCAGATAAATTTGATTTATAGGTTCTTAGACTTCAAGCAAAGTATAATTTACAGTTTTCTATCTGATCTGAAATTTACAGAGATTAAATCAACAACATATTATTGAATTATTTTCTTTAAAGTCTTCAAATATATATACATTTTTGTTTTGAAGGAGGGGGCAAGCATTTTCATGTTCTTATTCATAAGAAAAGATCTGGAGAGAAAGACCAATTAGTTGTCACTTTATTGAAACACAAGTCTATAGCAGGGAAGATTTTTGAAATATTTCTAAACCTTACAAGAGCAGTAAGTATGAAAGAGTCTGTCCAAATCTCAGTTCAGTTGTCTTCACACATCAATTTACACTATAAAACCATAGAACTTGGGCCAAATAATGACACTCTAATCCCTTTTGAGCTGTGGGAAATTCCTTCTCCTTCTCCCATATAAGCCATTAAGAGTAGTGATATTCAAAACAGTTGAACAGACATAAGTCCCTCATTGAGAAAATCTCACAATGAAAAAATTAAATCGTACTTGAACTCAGTATTATGTTTGGTAACATATTTGGTTTACATTCTCACACACTCTGTTTTTCACCAATCAAGAACACAAATTTGGGTATACAAACCAAGTTTTGAGTAGCAGTACTTCAGATAGTAAATAATAATTACTATGGGAGTCCTGATGTGGCACTGTAGAATAAGCAGTGGACTGCTTACCTCAAGGTAATAGGTTCAGACTCACCAGCCGTTCCTCACAAACACTATTCTCAGGGTCACTGAGTCACTTAACAACAACAACAAAATAGGCCATGTGTTACAATTACTCAAGTCTGCCTTATACATGGAAGCAGCCATAGATAATAAGTAAACGAGTGGAAATGTGTTCCAATAAAGCCTTATCTCCAAAAGCAGGTGGTTGGCTGGATTGGCCCAGGGCCCTTAGTGTGCCTACTCCTGCTTTAGAGTCCTTAGACCCCTTTGATATGAAAATGAAAGTCAGTAGTTATTGACCTAAGAACTACCAAGAAGCCTCAGTTCATTAATAGTTTCCTGCATCTGAAAATAGAATTATGGAGACTTAGAAGTAAAGTTCAATGACATTAAGAAGAATTACATTTGTGTTTGTAGGATGTACTTTTAGCATATTGAAAATATTAATATATATATATTTATGTTATTTCTTTACCTTTGCATTTGGCCCATGCTTTAGGGAGTAAATTGGATTTTTTTTTCACCCCATAAGTAGTTTAAGAACTATTCTAAGAGCTTGTGAGAAGGAACTGAAAGTATAAATTACCCTGTTAGGGCTATAAGTAAAGAGAAAGCATACAAGTAAAAAGATGAGGGTAGATCATTTACAATCTTCTATATGATGCAACTTGAGGCATAATAATTAGCATGTTACTGATTTATTTTCTTTAAAGTCATCTAATATATTTTGTTGTTAAGTGTTGTCGAGTCGATTCTGATCATTGCAACCTTGTATAGGGTTTCCCAGGAGCTGCTAGTGGGTTTGAACTGTGGATATTGTGATTAGCATTCCAGTGCTTATCCTATAGTGTCACAGTAGGACCCCTGGATAGTTATCGTGGTGATGTGCCGTGGAGTCTGTTCCAACTCACAGCGACCCTGCACAGGGTTTCTGAGCCTGTAAATCTTTACCAGAGCAGAAAGCCTCATCTTTCTCCCGCAGAACAGCTGGTAGTTTTGAACTGCTGACCTTTAGGTTCGCAGCCCAATTCATAGCCACTACGCTATACAAGGAGCTCTGGTAGCGTAAAGGTTACAAATCGGGCTGCGAACCTTAAGATCAGCGGTTCGAAACTACCAGCTGCTCCGCGGGAGAAAGATGAGGCTTTCTACTCCCGTAAAGATTTACACCCTCGGAAACCCTGTACAGGGTCGCTATGGGTCGGAACCGATTCGACGGCACTTAACAACAACAGCAACAACACGCTATACAAAGCCAAAATTCTAACCAAATTTTGTCTGATTCTACTTTTCTACCATATCTATAGTTCTCAGAATTTATATTGAATTCCCCCTTTTAAAATAAAATCTTTTTTGCAAATTATCATTCCAATGATAGTAGTAATTGCAATTTTATTACACTAAAACTAGAATAATTATGGGTACCCAAATTTTGTTTTGGTATCCATTTCATACAAACTAGTTTTATTGTAATAAATAACCAAGGACTTTTTAACCTCAAGAAAAGGAATCTAGTGATCTCTTTTTTTACTAGAAATGGACTTTATTAGAGGAGCTCATGAATAATTTTATTAATAGGAAAGCATGTATTTTAAAAGATTAGTAATTAAAGAAGTTTTTACATCAATTGCATTTTTGTAGACTTATGTTATGACCATTCTTTTTCATTAAAATTGTTATTCCTAAAGCGTTAATTTCAAGAGAAATAGGACTTGCATATAGATACTAAAAGAGGATTATATGCATTTCATTTTTACTAGTTGGTGGTGGTGGTTATGTGCCGTGGAGAAGGAACGGAGTCATAGTGACCTTATACAGAGCTTCCGAGACTATAAATCTTGACAGGAGCAGCAAATCTCATCTTTCTCCTGCAGAACAGCTAGTAGTTTCCAAATGCTGACCTTAAAGTTCGCAGCCCAATTCATAATCACTATGTTACCAGAGCTCCTGTTTACTATAACATTAATACTTGTTTATTGTTATCTTTATCAGATAAGAAGTGAAACACTAATTTACGTAACTCCAGTTGTTGGTTGTTAGGTGCCCTCGAGTAGGTTCCCAGGCATAGAAGAGAGAAAAAAATACTACTTACTTTTTATTGCAATGTATCGACATTCATGTAGACAAAATGAGTAGTCAGGTAACTTTTCTAAAAATCATGGATGACTACATTGTATTTTCAGGTGGAAAGATTCAGATTAAGAGCTATTTCATGCAAAATCCTCGTGGGGACATCCATACCCTCAAAGGTTGTATCATCCAGGGTGAAATTACTTTTACAGTTAATGAAAGCTAATGTTTCACTGCTTGTTAGAAGTCTTTTAAATTCAACTTCATTGTCTAAAAGAATATATCTCTCTCACTGCTCTTCGAGTCTATTTCAATTAATTGCAACCACATAGGACAGAATAGAACTGTTTCATAGTGTTCCTGAGATTTTACCTTTACAGGAGCAGATAGCCTCATCCTTCTCTTGTGGAGTGGCTGGTGGGTTTGAACCATCATTCTTGAGCTTAGCAGGCCAACACTTAATCTACTGTGCCACCAGAGCACCTTGCTAAAAGAAGATACTAACCATAGTTCAGCCTTCATTGGTTACATAGTGTGTCATCAATATGAAGATTACTGGGCCAAGTTATAAATGAAATTGTAGCTCAGATGTTAATGATGAATGATTGCTAAGTATTGATTGATCATAGATGTTACCTTGGATTTTATTTCCTGAAAATGCCTCTTGTACATCTGGGGTCATTTGGCTGTTACAGGTACTCCAACCTCTTCTGTGTATGTATGTGTGTGTGAATTGAGTAAATGTTTACAGACCAGATCATCAACTTTATAT